ATTAACAGATTTTTAAGATTACAACAATGGCTCTTGGGGCTTGAGCGATATCTTTTTATTAAGCGTCTGTAAATTGATACCATTGGTTATTTCTAGTAAGTTTATGTAGTCACTACTTTATGATTAAGAATAAACTGCTTTGTAGATTTATGCATTTTAACCATATTATAGTTCCTTTTCCTTTTTTGTTGTTTATTATTACCCTTTGCTTTTCAATGAACAAGCATGGTTGATAGTCAAATACTTTTTTAGAGCTAATGAAGGCAAAAGCAATATCTGGATGTTCTTATGTGTTTGTGGAAAATATGTTGTTCACTGTTTGGAATTTGTGATATTTTTTCCGTTCTTCTTTCATGTGGTATTTTGGGGCTATGTGAAATGCATTTAAGTTGTATTACAGCAAAAGGAACAGTTCTGATTTAATTATCATAGTGAATACCCAGTTGAAGAGGAGAAGTATATGAGGTTTGATAGGTGTGGACTATCAATTCTGCAGATCAAGAGTTCTTGAAACTATTAAGTACAGGATTAGTTTTGTTCATTAATTTGCTTTGTAGGTCCAATTATGGTGCACGAGTCACTGATAAGCTTCATATGAATAAAAATACCTGCAGTGCTGTAGCCACTTTATACCTTACCAAAAAGAAAAGGAAGCTGTAGCCTGTAAATGTTATGAAAAAACCAAACATCCTGTTGTATTGGCCTCAATAGTAGACTCTTAATTGTGTTTCATCTGTTTGCCTAAGGTAGGTGCTGCTATCTTGAAATTTTTTGGATTCATACTAATCAAGGATTGCAAGAGTTTAATCGACATGCTGATATTGTTGATCTGCAAGCACTGTTTTCCCTTTGGATGTTCATGCAGATAGTACATGAGAATCAAGGATGTGGTGCACATTTCATTTCATTTCTAATTCAAGCCTACAAGAGAGCTCTGCCAGTTTACCTTCCAGTTTATTTAGTTCCTGCACTCATTGTACATCGTCAAGGCATCTTGAAAAGGTACTGAATGTTGGTTTCTTCAATGACAAATCATCTTGTCTTCTTCGTTTTTCTCTTGGATTATCCATTCATCAGCCATTGCTTGATAAAATCTGTAGCCATTATAGGAGAATTATTTTAGCGTAGTTGTTACTACGAATAATTTATCATTTGGAAGTACATTTCCCTCCTGATAGTCCATATTGCTTTTAGCCCATTCCATTTCCAAGCTCTATAAATGTATAGTCATCTTCCTTCAGCTCCAGTTTTTACAACATTTTGAGGAAATTTTTGCAGACCTAACACAATTTTGGCGAAGAGTCTCCTCGGTACAGCAAGGTCTAGTCTATTTCTCTCCATGTATTGTTCATCTGCCTGGTAAGAGCTGATTTGATTTGTTGAATTTGCATTTAACTGTCTTTGTTATGAATATTTTTCCACATTTTTCAGTCCTTTCGTCTGACGATGTTAAGCCCCCTCCAAGTTTAAATACTCTTGCTTCAAATGACTGCTCATCTCAAAGCTTCATGTACTGTTTCATTGTTAGGTTATGGACATGTTTTCTCTTCAGGCTGTTCAAGAGGTGTAACATCCCCATGGTGGCACTGGGAACGGTATAGGACAGATTAGTTATCTTTCTTAACTAGTCGTTTTACTTCTCTCTTTGTAAAGCTAACATAAAACACTTTTTGCAGTTCCCTACTGGTCTGGCCCTGGCAATTGAGAAGAAAAGCAGGAGGATAGAGATTTCACTCTATTGCCTTGCTCGGGCACTTGAGAGTTTCGTCACGTGCATGGCTGATGTTGGTTATTTGCCTCAGTCTGAAAAATTAAAGAGAGGTGATGTCGTGATCTTTAGCATGGCAACTGCAATTATCATGCATTGTTATGCTATGGAGAGGGATGTCTTCAAATCCAAGTACTTGAATGTTCTTGATTGGGTGTTTGGTGTGCCTCTTCCCCCCTATGACACCACTCCTCGCAAGAAATGCCGTTCCTCATCCATATAGCACAGATGATGGATTATTCTTTTCCCCGCGAGAGATAATTGTACACAATGCATGTCACAAAAAAATAATTTAACTTTGTACACCACAATTGTCACAGAACTAATCTACTTTGATACAAATATAGAATAAACTATGGTCTGTTTAGTTGGAACTTTGTTGCTGCCAGTACATTGAATTATCTTAGTTCAGTATGATCATGAAATTGTTCTGTATTAAAATTTTGAGAGATGTTGTTATGTTAACGCTCTCAAGATATTAATATCTCATCAAGGCCTTCATAAATTGCTTATCCGTTAGGCAATGTAAAATGTTTGCAACAAATTATTCAATGTTGCCATTTCTGAACTAGACTTCTTTTAACACCACGATAATAATAAAAAATGAACCCACTAATAGATAATCAAGTTGATGCAGCAACTGATATACCAAAAGGTAGGCCAAGAATGATTTCCATGCCAACGTTTTAATGATTTTTTCTTAAGAGATCAGCTGATATGGTTTAGTTTCATACTTTCCTGGTTCAAACTTTGATTTGGTCGGTCTACAAACCCATAACCGCAATAAGTCAAATTTATAAACTTCAAAATAGAATAGGCAAACCCATATCGACAATAAGTCAAACTTATACACTTCAAAACAGAATACAGTTGTAATTTCGATACAAAACTACAATCTCAGATATAGTGGTGTGGTCAAAGAAGTTCTAGTAATTACTCCTTAGTATCGACAATGTCTTCCAATAATAGCATTACAATCAAAATGGTATATCAGAACAAACCCCTTAAACACTATTATCAAGAACCCTAATCCCCATTTCCAAACCAAAACACATCAATACCCAAAAAAGAAAAAGAAAAAAACTAATCAGACCTCGTCTTCATGAAGAAGCATATTGGGAATGCCTTTACTGACAGGAAATTTCCGGCCAGTCTCTGGACAAACCAAGGCACCCTCTTCAAGATGAAGCTCAAGAAGGGCATGATGAAACTTATGAAGGAAATCATCTGAGTCGAGCATAGCAGCATCAACATTTTCAGGCAGTTCGGCGTAACCCATGGTTGTAGAAGCTTCCGCCAGTGCCTTCCATTCAACTTTATGGAACATGTTCTTGAGAAAATCGATATTAAAATCAACCTCCTTCTCTACCACTTTCACAACCTCGATCTTCAACGGAAATCCATTTGCGACTCCCTTGATGTTGGATGATAACATATTGTGAGTTAACAGCCTCATCTGCGAATAAATTTCAGAAAAACAAAAACTTCCCAATAAGAAAATCTTTCAAACACTTAAATTCGAAAAATACTCAACAGAAGCAAAAGAAATTAGAATTACTTGGAAGTTGGAAAGAATTTGCTAATGCGAGGAACTTCCGATTTATAGGCCTTGGACGGCGCCGGAGAACTTGTATTTTCAGTCGTCTCTCTTACTTCTCGAGTTGCTCTAATGGTTGTTCTACGAGGCGTTTTTGTGGCAGGGGTAAAGAGGAAGTCTAGGGTTTGGGCCAGAGTTAGGGTCGGGCCTAGTAATGTAGCCACTTGTGATGGCAATGTTTTGAAATATAGCCCATTTGTAAACTTATTTAAAGTTTAATTAACCGTAATATAATAAGGAGAACTTAATTAGGGAAAATTGTATGAAATAACAAACTCTTAATTCAAATTAAATGATATAGTCATAGTTTATTTTATTTGTAATTCGCAGTAAACATCCCATTTTTTTGTCATCTGGTTTGGTATACAATTAGCCATTTTTGGGTATACAATTACCCATTCGGTATACAAATGTATAAAATGTATTTGTGTTTGTATAAAGCGAGAGAAAATTGTATATACAAATACATATATTTTCGTCCTATACACTTATAATTATACAAATACAAATTTTATTATATAAAATACAATGTATAAATGAATTTATACAAAACTGAACAATTTATATAAAATTGGATGTATCTAGCAAATTATACAAATCAAAATATGCAAACTATAGTTATAACATACAAATATGATTTTTATGTTTGTTATATGTGAAAGTTGCTCTAATTAATTATACTCCATAACTATAGTTTGCATATTTACGGGTCGTAGCTATAGTTTAAACTGTTTCATTTGTATAATTTGCGAATTTGTATAATTTACAGGTTTGTATAATTCGCGTGTACATTTGTATAATTCAGTTATTTTTATATAAACTCGAAATAACGAATTTATACAATTACAAACATCAGAAATGTAAACAGTTATACAAATTATATTATACAAATTCCAAATTATACAAAAGTTATACAAATTATATAATACAAATTTCGAATTATACAAACGTGCGAATTATACAAAACTAAAAAGTTGAGTCACGTAATTATAGCTAAAAGTAGGCCGTGAATTGTAATTAAGGCAAACTATAGTTATATTAACTAATTAACTAGTATATGTTTGCTTATATGCGGAATTTTCCTATATATATAACAACAACAACCTACTAATACTGTCCGGCAAAACGGGTTTGGAGAGGAATAAATTATACTTACGCTATAGAGATTTTTTTTTTATATATAGTGAAAGCATAACAAAACATATTGAACAATAACTATAACAAGATAATACGCTAATTGAAGTACAAGAAACAATAGAAAGTTACATAAATCATAGGCAAGAAACTACATAAGCAATATGGACGGTTAGTGAGACAAGTGAGACAACACACTACTACCTTTAAACCTTCTTTCCTAATATGTGTCCTTCACGACCTCCTATCTATTGTCATGTTTTAGATAAGCTGAAACTATGTCATATCCTATCTAATCATTTCTCTATAATATTTTTCAATCTACCTCTACACTATTGTGATACCAAATATAACCAACTTCTCACATGTCAAATCATCTCAATCTTGCTTCCGGCATCTTGTCTTCCGCCAATTTTTTTTTTGATTTTCATGAATATCTTCATTTATAATTTTTTCTTTCCTAATATAACCACACCTCCCTAATGCAAGGCAACAAACATCCTTATTTATGCAAACTTCATCTTGTGAAATATGAGAATTCTTTGATTAGCTAATACTCAACCCCAAACAATAAAGTTGGTGTAACCATCACTAGTAAAGAAAAATTTCCTTCAAGTCTCCACTAGAAGATTAAACATTGTTGAAGTGAGTAATTAACTCATAGCAGAGTATGAGTGTGATCAACTGCCTTATCATTTTCACCTGAAGATTTATTTTTGCTAAATTTATGTGTTTGTCTAACCATTTTAAAACTTATGATCACATAATCTAGTAGATGGAGCTAGACTTGCAATCTTGTGCTCGACTGCTCAATTCTGTTAACAGCAACCAATCTCTTCCACATGGGAAGCAACTCCACCTCGTTTTCCTCAAAAGGGGTATCCTTAACTCTGCTCTAACAATAGCCAATCGCCTTCTTCAGATGTACACGAGGTGTGGACAAATGGCTGATGCAGAGTTACTGTTCGATGAAATGTCTCAGAGAAACTGCTTCACTTGGAATACCATGATTGAAGGGTATATGAAATGGGGGAAAGATAAACAGCTCTTTGGACTTGTTTCGTTTATTGCCTTCCAAGAATGAATTTTCTTGGAATGTGGTCATTCTTGGTCTTGTTAAAGCGGAGGAGTTGGGTGTTGCTAGAAGACTTCTGTGTGAAATGCCAAGGAAGAATGAAGTAGTTTGGAATGGACTTATTCACGGGTATGCGAAAATGGGATTCCCTGGAGTGGCTTTATGCTTGTTTAAGGAGTTTATAGACTGGGATTTTCGTGAGACGGGTGCTGCATCACATATAGATTCATTTGTTTTGGCAACTGCATTAGGAGCTTGTGCTGACACAAGAAGTGTTGATTTGGGGAAGCAAATTCATGCTCGTATTATAGTCGATGAAGTTGAAGTTGATTCTGTGTTGGCAAGTTCTTTAGTTAACATGTATGGAAAGGGTGGTGATTTGGATAATGCGAGCTATATTTTGAATAGAATGCAGAATCCTGATAACTTTTCCTTGTCAGCACTAATTTCAGCATATTCAAAATGTGGTCGAATGGATGATGCTAGAAAGATATTCAACCTGATAACTGATCCTTGTGTTGTACTATGGAACTCCATGTTTTCTGGGTATGTGTCATGCGATGAAGTGTTAGAAGCATTATTACTTTTTGAGGAGATGCACAAAGAAGGAGTTATAGGGGATTCCTCTACATTAGCTAGTGTATTGAATGCCTGTGCTAGTGCACATGCCCTTAAAAATTGTTTGCAAGTGCATGTTTATGGTTTTAAGCTTGGACTGTTGGATGACCTTGTCGTTGCTAGTGCGCTCATTGACGCATATGCTAAATGTGGATGTCCTGATGAAGCTTCCAAAGTTTTTAATGAACTCAAAACACATGATACCATCTTGCTAAATTCTATGATTACCATATATTTCAACTGCAACAGAATTGAAGATGCGAGGCAATTATTTGAGTCAATGCCCTACAAGAGCTTAATATCTTGGAACTCTATGATAATTGGTCTTAATCAAAATGGTTGTCCAGTTGAAGCACTGGATCTTTTCTACAGGATGAATAGGATGGATTTTAGGATGGACAAATTTAGCTTTTCAAGTGTCATCAGTGCCTGTGCAAGCATTGCTTCAGTTGAACTTGGTGAACAGATTTTTGCAAGAGCTGTTATCATCGGCATTGATTGTGATAAAATAATTTCTACCTCCTTAATTGATTTCTACTGCAAGTGTGGTTTTGTTAGTGATGCCAGGAAGCTCTTTGACCAAATGATGAAATCCGACGAGGTTTCGTGGAATTCTATGTTGATGGGTTATGCTACAAATGGTTACGGAAATGAAGCTTTGAATCTATTCCACGAAATGAGAAGTGCGGGTGTTTCGCCAACAAATATCACATTTATTGGTGTCTTATCTGCCTGTGATCATTGTGGTTTACTAGAAGAGGGAAAAAGGTGGTTTAATTCAATGAATTACGATTATCACGTTGATCCAGGGATTGAACATTACTCCTGTATGGTAGATCTTTATGCAAGAGCAGGATGTCTTGAAGAAGCTGTGAACCTCATCGAAAAGATGCCATTTGAGGCAGATTCAAGCATGTGGTTATCCATTTTGAGAGGATGTGTAGCTCATGGTAACAAGATACTAGGACAGCTCGTGGCCCAACACATTATAGAGCTTGATCCTGAGAATTCAGGTGCTTTCGTGCAGTTATCAAACATATTTGCTACTTCTGAGGACTGGGAAAGATCTGCTTTGGTCAGGAGGCTGATGATAGAAAAGAAAATCCATAAAAGTTCTGGTCGAAGCTGGAGTGATATGTAAGACAAAGTGCAGTACAGGTCTCCGGATAATTATTGCAGCAGTGCGAGAAGAGGTTAACTTTATTTTTTAGCCACCCACTTCAATATCTTTTGAAGCTATTAATTGTTTTTTTTCCGGCTCGTTCATGTTCCTGTAACAATGGTTTTCTTCTAATCTTGTTGCATTATTTTGTGAGCACATCCCAGTTGAAGGGCTTTGTGAGAATTAGCAGTTTGTTTCTCAGATGCCTTGATTTAGGACAGAAAAGACTTGCTGCTGTCAGCTTACAGCCTTATCATTCAAGTTTGTTGGATATATTTGCTTATACAGATTAGTATTTTTCTATAAGTGGTGATCATGTTACTATCTTTTTATAAAGTAGTGATCATGCTACTATCTGCAATTCAGGTTCTTGGAATTATGTAGATGCAGATATGAAGAGTTCTTAGCTGTTTTGGTCACTAAGGGAAAGATGCGTGAGTTAAAGAAATTTGCTGGGGACTCTATACACTATAGTTTAGGCATCCATCTGCTTCAGTCATGCACATCGTTTGGCAGTTCTTAACAGTGTTTTCTCTGAAAATTCTTGGTGTTTCTATCTGTCATTCATTAACTTTATTTGCCAGGATTTAATTCCCAACACTGTCGTGATATCCAAGGTGCTATACACTATAGTTTATTTGCCAGGATTTGCTGGGGGCTCTATACACTATAGTTTAGGCATCTGTCTGCTTCAGTCATGCACATCGTTTGGCAGTTCTGAACGGTGTTTTCTCTGAAAATTCTTGGTGTTTCTATCTGTCACTCATTAACTTTATTTGTCAGGATTTAATTCTTAACACTGTCTGTGATATCCAAGGTGATATTTCACATGTCTAGGACAGAAATTTGCAAAAATGTTTGGAGATAAATTTTGAAAATGAGGAGAGAAGGCTATGGTCTAGCAGAATTCATGGGCCTATACGACCAGAGCGATACAAATTCAAAGCTATTCAGAAACTGTCTTTATAGTTTTCCACTTTGTTATTCAAGCTAACTCTCACTTCTTTTTAACTGATGTTGTGGCAGGTTGGTATAGTGATGTTGTTCATGGGGATGAGAGGGGCTGGTCTGACCTCCTATAGTAGCGATAACTCAAGTAATTATTCTTCCTGCGCCCTTCAAAGGATGCTCACACTCAAGGGATCTTTGATGCATGTTCTGTCATGGCTAAAAACGTGAATGAATCAGGTATTTGTGCCGTGGCTGACCTCAGAGAGAACTATTACTTGGCTGGAAATATTTTTTTCCTGGGAGAATGAAGGGGGTTTCCCCTTAAGAATTGAACCAGGATAAAAAGGCCTTGCAAACGACCAGGTAGGAAATGTAACTTCTGTCTTTTCTTTCTACTTGCCAGTTGTTTAAGAAAGTCAAATAGGACAGGATAATAGAAATCATTTTTGTTTGTTGTTAAATTTGTTACTTTTGGATACCAAGCTTGATGCTATATATTTACTTTAGCTTTGTAATAACTTTCCCAGGTATGAGCTATTTGACGCTAAATGCAGCTAAAAGTCAAACAGATATTCCATGGCTAATCTAGTTGAACAAGCAAAATATATGCTCACCTCTGTCCTCCAATAAAATTTATTTGATGTTGCGAAACAAAAGTGAGATGCTTGTCTTCAGGTTGTATGAACCTGGGATGAATTTGCAGAAGCGCTGAACGAGAAGATATTGGCCTGGCTCCCTGGTGGATTGTGAGGTATGTTACACTTTCAAAGTGGTTGCATCTGAGGTGAATCTTTTATTTTCATTTTTGGGTTGGGATCTTTTGTTTGAACTTTGGGTTGATAAAAGAGAAATGGTAATAGTAGAGCTGTAAAATACTGACATGTTTGTGAATAAATCTCAAGTCAGCTTGTATTAGTTTGAAGTTGAGCTTTCTATTTAGTTCGACCATTCAAACTCAAGATTCAGTTTATCTGAATTAACGTGAGCGAACAGCCCATCCCCCTCATTCTCAGTAAATATACCATAGTTACGTAATTTACAATTTAGTTTTTTTTACTCCTAAATGATAGGCAGTTGAATAAGAATAGTATATTATATTTTATTTTAGGTGTTTTGCAGTTGAGGCAAGCGTGGCATAGTGCTCGATTAATTTGATCAACATGTAGTGTTTGTTCATGTGATAACTGATACTTATCTTAGATACGCTGACAAAGATGCCGCACACACATATACAATACAGTCAGACAGACAAGAGGCATTCCTCAGCTACTACAATGATAATCCTTACTGCTCATTTCCATTTATAGCTTGATTTGAAAATTTACCACCTGTGAAGACGGAATCCATAAATAATTATGTAAACAGCCATTCTGACAGTGACAGGGTAGAATCTATACCTGCAGATAGTAAAATACCTGAACCTCAGGCGTGTGGCAAAGTTCATCAGTCAGGAAAATGTGTTGCAGCGTATGAACTTCCATCTAATGGCAAAAAAGTATGGTCTCATAACTTAAGAGGTCACACATCAGGGTAACTTGTAATTTGATTTACTAAATTTCAAGGGGGACACTTTTGTATTTGTAAAATAACTGAATTTGGGCCTAACTTCACAAATTCAGGTCTGAAGTTATGCTCGTGTCTAAAACTACGCTTTGGTGCATTGGCAAGCCAAACATCAAATTCGAGATTTTCAACTTCAGTCCTGCAGTTTTAAAGTTGATTTTGAGGCAACTAAATACTTCGTAAATTCTTAGCTGTGTTTTGAATAGCAGTTATCTGTGCACATGTCCCAGCACCAACCTATTAGACTTACACCCAAAGACAACATAAGGGGTTTATGATATTCTATTTTATGTTTATTCACTTTATTTTTTAAAGTTTTGATGTCCAGACTTGTAGTATCTCTAGGTTCTTGCTTTTAGAGCTAGCAATATTAAAATCAAACTCTGATGTCAATTTAAAGAATTTATTAATGTCCAATGCAGTTAACTAAGGTTAATAATTATTAATAGGTAATCACACTGAAAGATGCTAGAGCCACTTCGTAAAAGGTAGAAAAGTTGGAAGGCACATATTAATTTTATGACTTATTTTTGTCATTTTCTGTACTAAGTTGGCTCTAATGGGCAAACTCCAAGTTCTCTTTTGGAATAATTAAGTAATTGTATAAAAAATTATACTAGATAGTATCTTTTAACTTTAAAATTCTTATGAAACTTCAGGGTGGAGATGAGTGCTTGGACTTTCTTGTTTGTATCATTCCCTAGGTAATTTTGATTGCCTTTTGGGGGATCTTTCAACAACTTTGCCCCACCAATAATTCAATCTTTGGTTTCTCTTCACTTATGTTAAGTTTAAATGTAATAGTTTCTCTGATTCATGTTTTGTCTTCTAAGTTTTTGTGTATGTTCATCTCTTAAGAAAGATATTTTCAACGATTATTTGCTTATACTGTCATCTGTGTTTATCTTATACGTCTCCCTTAATGAACACTCTACTAATTGGAGCAGTAAGGATGAGTTTGAGAAAAAGTAATGCTCTAATTTATTTCTTTAAAACGTCAAATATTTGAAACAAATTCAGTTTGTCAAAATGATTCATGCTTAGAACTAGTTCATGTCCTTGAGACTGTAGAACTCCAACAGTGATTTGCAACTAGGGCAATAGAAAAGCAATACTTATCATATATAGAGCCCACTGCCCAATAAATCAACTTTGAGAGGATCCCAGATCAGTACCTATAAAAGACCCTTTAGAAAAAAGCATGATATAATTAAAATAAAGTACTTAGGATAATAAATAATTATTATCACCTAGGGAATTTTTGTCTACTTCTTAACATGCCAACCTGTACATATTTACAATACCACTCACTAAATTCATATAAATTGTCAAACCTTTTGCTCACCTTTAATCATAGCCCATCTTAGATCAGTCTCTCCTTTTTCATCCTTTTTCTCTCCTCACTCATTATTGTTCAAAAAAAGAGAGATAAAGAGCCTATGTGCTATTGATTTCTTCATCATTAGCAAGAGAAAAAGGAATTGAATTAAACTGAATTTTAGTTTTCTGAGATAATGGCCAGCACCTTTTGCTTTCTTGTTGTAGCAACACTCATTATGTGTATATTCATTGCAACAACACCTTTAGCAGTGTCACTGAATGTGGAGAGGAAGTTGATATCAGCAACACCAGTAGAGTTTCTTGCAAATCCTCCGGTGCCAGCGGCGTCTCCATTCTCAGAGATATCACCAGATATTGCACCTCTCTTGCCTTCTTCTGGTGGTGTGGTGCCTCCAGTTTCTTCAATGCCAACTATTCCTTCGAATCCGAGTAAAAATCCAGATGATGTGATGTACCCTATTGGCCCTGATTCTGCTGCTCTTGCACCTTCTGCTTTTTCACCTGTTTCCTCTGCTGTTTGTTGTGTTTGTCTTGCAACATATCTGAACATTGCAGTACTGCTTCTAGTAATCGGCTTATTTTGTTCGAGTTAGACATCTGATATTCGAAATACACTGATTCAATTGGAGGGGGTATGAGCGCTCCCTACCAAAGTAGTCGGCTTAATTATTTGTTATTTGAGAAGTTGTATAATATCATCAACTGCGTTGTTCAGCACTATAACATGCTGTTTCAATCTTGTATAAGTTGATTCAGTCTGAAATTCATTTCTTTTATAAGGGATAAATGATACTAGTGTAAGTTCTTTTATTGTCCAATTGTATTTAGTTTCAATTGTTGTTGGAAATCAAAGGCGAAGCTAGAGTTCTAACTACGGATTCTTCAAAATTCAGTAGCTTTGGCAAAACATTGTGTGAATGGTTAAGAAATCTACTGAATATATATAAATATACTCCCTCTGGTCCATATTACATGGTATTTTTTTTTTTAGTGTTCTAAGCTTTTACATTCAGTCCAAAATAAGAGAATTTTTAATCAGGATGATATTTATTGTTTTTTTTCTTCAAGTTTACCGTTATTTAGACAAGTGTGATTTCATAAAAATCAAGAAATCATATTAAATAGATACTATTTAATTAATTAAGAATAATTTAGTGAAAACACTTTACTCTAGTGAATTTCTATATCCAAGTTAAAAACATTATATAATATGAATATGAGGGAGTAATTTATCTCGTACTCAGTAAGCTATCTTTTATAGAATTCATAATTTGTAAATTCTGAATCTGTATAGTGCAATGCTTAGACTAGAGTAAAATTGTTTCTAGTGTTTTTTTTTAAAAATAAAATAAAAATTAAAAGTGATTATCAAGATTAGTGTAAAAACAATTAAAAAAAGTGCAACTTTTTCTTGTTTAATTTCCCATATGCTACTTTTTGGTTAAGTAATAATAT